GTTGCAGGGCTAGGACTCACACATGCACAAGAGTATGGAAAAAAAAGTGTGGGAGCAATAAACAGGGATGCCACAGCCTGCAGGTTGGAGGTAAGAGGAGGCATGAAGACAAAGGGGAAGGTACTGGAGGCCTGAAAGTGCTGTTACTTCTGTGAACTTGAAGTTCCTTTCTGGGTCCAGCAAATTTCTTCGTCCTCTAAATTTTTGTTTGGAAACACTTTCCATTTGGTTTTGTACTGTTTTGCCCTTGTGCTGTATCACACACTTTTAAGCAGTGATATAACAAAGCCTGCAAGCTTGATGTTAGTATTTATGCTAGGCAGGCAAGCCTGGTATAAATCTGAGGTGTTTTTCTTTTCTTTTCTTTTTTTTTTTCCTAGCTGTGATAGTGTCAGTTTGATATATCACCTTTCATGTTGTGTTTGTACTTGAGGTCAGGAAACTTCTGAGTTGTGCCTATCATCAGCATTGTAAATACAAAGTAGCCTTTGGCACCTTAGTGTGGTGCCTTGCAGTGGATTTGTCAAAACAAAACAAAATCCCCTCTTTTGTTTTCCCCTGGAGTCAATTACACTCAGGATGAAGCAGTTAGTGACACCAAGGATAGCAGCTGAAGCCTTGCAGGCTAACCTGCTTATCAGAAGTGCTGGCATTGGTATTTTCTAATATCACTGGCCAGCTTTACTGGTCCATTGAGAACCTCTGCTTTCAGCAGGACTTGTAAAACTCATTAAAACTTCTTTGCAGATTCTTGAGCTTCCAGAAAGTACCCACCTAAATAATAAACTGATTCTGCTGTGTCAGTGCTGGCAGTTCTGGGGGGCAGGACCTCTCCCTTTATGCCTGTGGGGAAATCCTTTGATCAGGGAGGTCGATCCAGCCCTGTCCTGCAAGCCCTGCTCCAGGGACATGGACAGGCATGTGCCAGCCCCATGCCATTGCCTGTCCCATCACTCTGGGGACATGCTGCACCTTTATCTGGGATACACTGTCCATAAACAGGCCCTGAGTGTGGGCTAGGGAGGGTTCTTGGGCTTTAGAGATCTCGTATATAGCTCTGGAAATGTGTGCACACACCTTTGTAACTGCTGGGATTGTGTGCTGTATGATAATATCATATATGCACTGTGTGTACATATGCATGCTATAGGGCATGTATGTTACCATATCATCTGTGTACAGTAAATCTGTGTGTTCTTAAGGTGGTGATGCTTTGTGACATCACACAGGATGATGGAATTGCAGCTGGTTTCTCCACACAACTGGAAAATGGGCTGGTGATCTGTGGTTTCCCAAGCTTCAGTACAGCCATGGCATAGTAATTTAGCAGCAGTTGCTTTTTTGTGTCTTGGATTTCAAAATGCTCTCTCCTATGCTTAAGTGTATAACTCTGTAACATGAAATAGTGTAAGTAGACCTATTTCTGAACAAAGCTTTTGCTATTGTGCAGGAAAAGTTTGTTTTCATTCCCTTCTGAGATAGGTCAGCTCATTAATTTTGTTGCAGCTGCAGTGGCATAGGAAATGTGGCTCAGGTGTTCCCATATTGCTGTTATATGTCAGATACAGGCTGGCTTTTGTGAGTAGAATTAGATTTTAGCTGTGTTCTAAGGAAAAAAAAATCCAATGGAGAAAAATTAGCTACATGCCTCTAAAGCAGGAGAATGTACATCTCATGTGTTTTTGTTTTGAAGATAAATAGATGTTCATTAAACATCAGTAGGTTAAAAAGCTGCTGTTGGCTTGGGATGGAGTTTCCAGATCTGTGTGCTGACATGTAAGGTTTGGGACCCAGTCACATCTGCTGTGACATGCTTTGCTTGAACAGAGCTTTCTTCCCATTTCCTTTTGCTGGCTGGAGATTTACATAATATATTCAAGTACAGTGAAAGGTCCAGACATCCTGGCCAACAAACAAAGCATGTTCTATACTTAATACTGCCTCAAATTTCTCATAACTGGTCTGTGATTATTCCAGTCACAAATAACCCTGGACAGCTTTGAGACAGAATTTTTCATACGGTTATGAGTTCTTCTGTAAATAAAGCAAATCCTCAGGAGTGAGTGTGAGGAATGGTTGATCCTGAAAAATGAGGAATAGGAGTGTGTTTTGAAGCTGGGTGAAAAAATCCACATGTTGCAATTTATTTATTTACATCCATTACTCTGCACTTCTCTAAGCACTGAAACTTGACCAGAACACAAGAACTTATTGCAGATCTGCAAAGTCCTGTGCAGTGGGGACTGTCCTTAGTTATTGCTATCAGCAGCAATAAATGTATTACACGTAAACCTCTCACGACAGCCTAATACATCCCTCAATTTGTGACTTCTCCAGCAGCCAGAAAATAGGTGAATTTTGCAGTGGGCCTGAAAAGGGGTTATCAGCAAACTCTGGATCTGCAGACTTGAGGAAAAGATCAGGTTTCAGTGTCCACATTCTTTGTTGAAAATACTGTCATCAGAATCTCTGCAGTTTTTGGGGGACTGGGGTCATAGCTGTCGCTGTCTTCCATATGAGGAAGGGGACTGGCAAAATCCAAACAAGCAGAAGCGTTAGGAGCTAAACCCAGTGTCTAGAAGCCTATATTAAAATTAGCCAGCCACCCATACAGACTTTGGAGCATCAGTGGCACTTCAGAAATAGCTAGTCCCAGGAGAGAAACACCAGGATCTTGTTCTGAGGTGGAAACCACAAAGCATGGCTGCATCTGAAAAAAATCTGTGACAGCTTTCCTGAATCTTTCCAAAGATCCTTAGGAAACTCATACCCTGTGTGTCTTCAAATGGTGTTCCCTTGTTGACCCCAGGATTCCTAACTGAGCTTCAACATCCATTGATCAAAGGGAGGTTCTGGGGTTTGGTTTTCTTCCCTCTTCCCTTGAGCACATCCAAGCAGGGATCTCAGTGCTGTGCCTGGAGTCCCTAAATACACTGAAGTTATGAACTGCCCTCCTTGTGAACTTGGTGTGAGATGGAAATGTCTGTGAATAAACAATGTGTATGATTCAATTCTCCCTCTCGTGGTCAGATGGGACCCTTCTCACAGTCTTCAAGCACAGACATATTAGATGTGTCTGTTTGATGTAACTTGCATCTTTTGGAAGCCTCCCATGGTCGTAGTACAATCAGGATTTAGTGGGGAAGTTACTGATGGTTCTTGAAATACATATATTGACTTTTTGCCACACCATGAGTGGACAGATTGGAGATGTGAACCCAACTGCGACATTCTGTGGAATTGTATTAACCTCTCCTGTACACACCTCCCCTAAGTGTTTCTAATTTGTCTCTGTTTAGGTGTTAAAGTGCTTCTGAAGCATAGCTCTGTTTGTCATCCTCCTGGCACTCCTGTTGACTCCAGTGGGTGATACAGTGTGAGCTCTGTTGCTTTTCAAGGATGCTGCAGTGTTGTTGACTTTGACAGGAGCACTCCTCTAAAAAAATGAGAGGAGGATTTGCCTCTCTGTTATAAATCCCACTGTTTGGTAAGAAAAGTCCTGAGGATTTTGTTCAATGATATTTAAGTCTCCCCAGAAGGAACAAAACCCTACTTAAAAAATAAATAACCCTGCACAAATGTACAGGATTAAGCATTCCAAAATCAATTCTTAATTATTGTTTAATTGATTTCAGATATAAAAAAGAAACAGAAAAGAAGAAAAAATTTAAATATATTCTTTACACAGGGCTTAACAGCCATTTTCTGTCAATGTAGATGTTAGAACAATACCAAAATTCTGTCATGAACAAAGTCCCTGTACACCAACATGCCTTTTGTTCGGTTTTATCGCTGAGGAGCAGGAGTTTTACTGTATTTGTTTTTCTGATTTATGTCACAAATATTTTCTGTCTCGTGCATCATTTTTAAGTGCTGTTTACGCTTATTTTCATCCAGTAGCATGGGAAAATAATTGCCACTCTTTAGAACTCCTGTTAAATTCTGAAGCAATAAGTTTAATTGCTTATTATGTATTTCTAAGTAGTTAGTTTCCTCTAAGAATTGGTTAAAGATTTTCCTTGCACAGATCTTGACTCAAAGATTGTCCTTTAGCTAGAAAATATTGATTAGCTTTTGTTTGGCCCCTGTTGAGAGCACCTTATCTCTAAGACTAGGTTTTGTTACTATAAGGGTTGACAGAATTCAGATTTAACCAGGTGAAGTCTGCCATGGTCAGTAAAAAGTTAAAGGATCACTGTAATAAATTATGATATTAATCTTGTGAGTTTTTTTTTTATTTAATCAAAAAAGAGATTTTGGGGACTTCAAGCTGACTGAAGTAATTCATGCTAATTGTCTCATCTGCTTAGTATGTCATTTGTCTTCTATGAATATCAATGCCTACATTCATTTAATCTAAAATAATTAATACCCAAACAATTAATAATGAGAGATAAAATCTGAATTAAAAAGAACTTTAAAAGACTGAAATATATTAATAATTTTTAAGACCAAATGTAAATACTGCATTACATCTCAAATTATATTATCAGAGAAAATTATATTAATAACGAATACAAGATTACATGCATCTTTTTCTATGCATGTGAATATTATTACTGTATTAGCAGGTGCACTGTGGCAGGTCAGGGGCTGGCTTTCTGAGCTTGTTCAGGCCTTGTGCAAGCTGAGCCCAGGGTCCTGCTGGCAGCAGAGCAGCCCAGGCTGTTCAGAGCTGCCTCGCTGATGTCAGCAGGGAGATAGGTGCCTTTGAAGAGTGATTCAGCAGCTCTCCGTGCTGACTAATCACTGGATTTAGCCACTAGCAAATGCAGGATACACGATGATGCCTGAGCTCCTGCCTTTTAGGGCTGGCACACGGCTCTGACTCAGGGCTGTATCTGCCCACTAATGATCTGGTGCCTACAGCCCTCTTCTGATGTGAGGTATCTGAGCCCATCTTGTCTCCTTGAAGGCAGCAAAACCCTCAGAGAGCGTGGCTGCCATAATAGCACACTGTGGCTTTACTGTAATAACCTGGTGGCAGAGAAAGCATGACTTTATGACTCTCAGCACCCTGAGAGGACAGAGGCTGCTGCTCTTGCCAGCAAGAGGGTATCCTGGAAGAACCAGCCTCTATGCACCTGCCTGAAGATGAGCTACAATACAACCAAAAATGCAGCAGTCGCAGCACCAGAAGTAAGTCTGATCCTGTAGCTTTGTGGCCTGGGATTTACCTGGGGAGGGTGGTTGGGTCTTTGGTCTGAAGTGTTTGTGTTTTCTAGCTGTAAAAATGGGACAAAATAACCAGGATTCCTACTTCTCATGTTGGCAGACAGATGTGAGCTGCCGTTGTGCTGTGGGAGTGAACACGTTGCCTTTGAGGGGCAGCAGAACCTGGGTGACTGTGGCTTCCTCACCATGGTGGGGTGCTTTGTGTCCCAAGCACTCCTTGCTTCCCATTGTCATTGGCTGCTTTTGGTTTTAGCAGATCTTTCACACTGCCAAGGAAAGAATGTTAAAAATGGGAAGTGGATTAAGTGGATGTGGAGGCATGAGCTGAGGAGCTGTCTCTGGCTCCCAAAACCTGCTGGCCTCACCTGTGCTCTCAGGCACACGTGTGACCTGGTGATGTGAAGGGTTAACCAGGTGTGCCTAGTGGTGGAATATCACCTGACATACAATTTAACCACCTTGTCTTTTGATGCTGATGCCTTCCTTCAGCCAACAGGGGACAGTACACACTTGGTCTCTTCCTTCTGAATGTTTTAGGATGCTGGCCTAGGATGTTCTTTCTCAGCCGCTTTCTGGTGGTCTCTGTACTTCAGAGAATCACCCTACCAAGCAAATTGGTGGACTCTGTGCCTGTGCTGTGGATGTTAAATTTAGTTTTCCATAACTACAGGTGTGTCTACAGGCTGTAACAAAGTTTGGCCATTCCAGTTCAATAGCAATAGTCTGGTTGTGTGCTGTTGCCTGGCACAGAGGACATGCTCATGTTGGTAGCTGTTACAGTGATATGTCTCACGTGTGGTTGTCTGAGCCAGAGGTCGTTTGGATTTCCAAAGGTGAGAGTTGGAAAGCTTGAAAAGAGAAAGGGAATAATGAACCTTGGGTATTCATGTAATTGTCTTTAAAGTATCACAGCCTGGACACTGTCAATTGTAGGTGTGTTTGTTCATTGACTTTACATCTGACACATACATGACAAATGCTGTCCTGCCTTCCAGTGTTACCCCAGCCATGCATTTGTTCTGCCTGCCTTGTGCTGCTGCTGGCTTTAGGATGTCATGTTGTGAATCAGATCAGCTGAATGGTCCTGCTTATTCTCTTTTTGTGGGGGTGGGAATGGGAGGGAGGGAAATTGCTTTGCAGCCAGATTAATTTCCTGGTCTATCTGCCTGTGCAGTTGCATGAATGCCACTGCCAACACAAGGAGTGGAGCAAAATTGCTGCTAAATTAAAATGTTTCTGGACTGCCATCTTTAGATATAAAATAATAAGAATGATTATTTTGTTAATATTACTTTGCTCTAGGTTTTGACACACTGTGGTCTAAGACCATGTGCCTGTAGTCATTATTCACTCTTGAAATGTAGAATAGTTATCAGGCATATTTTGTGGCTTCTCTGAGTATGTATGTGTGTGTATAAGTACTGCAGTCTTCTTTGTTTACTGGATGAAATACATTTATTGGTGGAAAAATATGACTTGACTTTGCAGCGCATCAACATTTAGCATGAATGATTGCTTGGTAGTGCTTCTGAAGATGTTTTATCTAATTCTCACTGTTGCAACTCTGCAAAGGGTGAAGATGCAGAACAACTCAGTGGCCACTGCTGGCCCACTTCCATGGCTTCTCATCTGGTCATTGACTTTTACTGTGTGTTTTTTAGTTTCTGTAAATAAATTTACCCAGCTCTACACTGAAGAGTCTTAAGAGTTCTCCAAAGCAATGTACATGAATTTATCATACCAATTCCTTAGTAAAGTCACAACTATAGTAATCCTGCTGTAGGATTCTTCTTGGTCTTTATTCAGTGACCTGTATATGAAAAATAAAGAATAAATAATTCTGGTATATATATTTTAATTTGGTAAACATAATCATAGTAGCTTGCTCACTGAAGCAGACAATTGCTTCAAATGTAGCTTTTGTTGAAGTGAAGTGAGTTTATTCTGGATAAATTTATATCCATTATAAATTACTAGCTTCAGACAGATATTGTGAAATACTTAAATTCCTTCTGTTCCCATATTTTCTTATTTTATTAAGACATTATAACTTCAGTGGATGTGGGAGGCATTAGGAGAGAAATCTGAAATTGATGTGAATAAACAGGTTTCCAGACAGGATGCATTTTTATTTCTTTCCCTGTAATGTGTATTTCAAAGTATTACTTCACAAAGTACTTAATAACTTTGTGAATACAATTAGTGTTTTATATGCCAGATTCCACTTCTTTCATTTTTCTAAGCCTTTTACACAAAATTCACTCAGTTTACATGTATCTTTTCATAAATACCAATAATGCTTTAATTTATGGGTGTTTGCTGTTGGGCTTTGTTTAAATGAGTTCCATCCAAAAGGAATCAGAGCTTTGTATTCTTGCAGAAATGAATAAACCACATGAGGTGAATTTTCATACAACCCATTTCAAACCTAGAGTTTTCAGGGTATAATTTAGATATTGCATTGGTGGTTTATGACCATATAAAGTGGAGGTGTGTAGGTAGGAGGCTAGATAGATGTACTTGTAAATGGCTGGAAGCAAGGAGGCTGAGTGTGGTCTCCAGCAGTGCATTTTTCAGCTCACAGTTTCACATCTCTCTCCTAAGGCATTAGATGTTACTAATTCTCCAAGAGCCAAAGATCTGTTTTACAGAAGATTCTGATTTGATTAAGATATTGCTTCAAGACCTAATGTTACTTTAGCAAATCATGCCATGACTGGAAATGTACATGATTGGAAATAAACTGCGTGTTATCTGAGAAACAGAGAAAGAGCCTCATGATTTGGAATGATGCTGCAGAAGCAGTGTTTAGTGTAATGACAGTACACTTAGATTAATTATAGCGCTGCTTGCAGGCGCCACTATACACTTAGTGTTGTGTCAGCACTTTTGCTGTTAACCCTGTGCTGCAAAAAATTCTAATTTGGCTCTAAAAAATGAAGAAATCCTCTGGTTTGAATACAGGCTTTGTGCTGTATGCACTGAATCAGCTTCTAGTTAGGCCCTGAATTTTATTTTTGTATCCTTAGCTCTCCAAAGTATGTAGCAGTATAAATAATAACTTCTATTTAACATTGTGTATGTTTTCTGCTCTGCCCACTTCTGATGGAGAACTTAATTTTAGTAAATGCCTAGACTGTTGTGATCACTTCAGATGGTCTGAAATAAAGCACTGAGATATTTAACCTTGAAAGCTGGAAGGTGCAAGTGTTAAGCCACCATTTCACTACTCAGTAGATGAGTTAAATTTGGCTTAATGTGTGTTTATATGATTAGCTGCAATAGCTCTGAAGGATTGTTAAAGTCTGAAATAAGCCTTGAGCATGGCTTAAAAGGCTGTTTACACACAAAAAAAATTAGAAATACTCTACAGAAGCTGTTAGAATTAGTTATGTAAACACTGCAGAGTGATTTTTAAAATAAATACTGAAATATACTATAGGCAAAGAAGTGGCAGTGAAATTAAGTAACTTTTTGACTAAGTCATCAGAATGCTGTTTATCCTCATTTGCTATTGAGAAGACAATAATAAATGCTGAGCAAATAAACTTGCTTGTGCCTGGAACATATTGTCCTGCAAGTACAGGAATCTTGACCCATTGCTTTTTAGCAGTTCTTAGCCTCTTATCCTCTCTTGTTTCTAATTTCCACTTCTAGATTGTATTTTACTTTTTTCTGAGTAGTGCTGGCAAGTGGCTCTTATCAAGAACAAATGATGCTGTAAATCAGGACCAAAATCAATGCTGCTGTGGGGTTGTAATAGTGAGATGTGGTTGTGTGGGCCTGAGTGTTTTACCTGCCTCTGAAGCCAAGAGTGAGGCCCTGGGTAGTGTTCCAACCCTTGGCTTCTAATTTACTGGCAAGTATATATATACAGCTGTGCTGTCTCAGTCTGAGATTGGCGATATCAATATAAAACTCCTGTTTTAATACGCCTTTTCTCATGATGCAACAGTAAAAAGCAAATGGACATTGATATTCAAGTAGAATTGCATGGGAATACAGAAAGCACTTAATCCCTCTACCCTTAATACCACTAGAGTAGGATTTAGGACTGGCAGGGCTGGCTGGGATGCCTGGCAGCATGTATTGGCTCCCTTCTCCTTTGGAGCACACATTCTCTGTAGGTGCAAAGGACAATGGGGGTTCCAGCAGCAGGATGGGTTCTCTCAGTTGGAGGAAGGTTTATTTGCCCAAAGCAACAGGGTCTTTAACATCATGGCTGGCCATTTTCTGCTGTAGTTACTGCTCTTCTCCATGATAGGTGCTAGTATAAACAAGGAGTGATTTGTGCCACTGGAATAAGGCCATGTGTGTTATGCCAAATATAAAATGAGAGGGCTGATACGAGTGCCTCTTGGACATGTCTTTCATTACCCTTTACGCTTCTCTTTCCTAATAGAATTTGGAGGAACCAAACACATGCTGGATGCAGGGTTTTATTAGAGTGTTTTGCCTCGGGCCCTTAACTCCTTTAGCTGGTCATTACCTGACCAGTAAAGACCTCTAAACGGGTCATTAATGCTTAAGTAATAAACTGTTTCACAAGACTGTCTAGTACAGAACCTCTTCTATCATTTTTACAGTTACTGTTTTATAGATAAATCAATGACCAACAACTGGATATTCTTGTTTTGCTACATAATCTTGTAATAGCAGCCACAGCAAACAGGCAGAGGGTTCTTTTAGCTGTGTCACGAGAGCTGGAGGTGGCCATGCTCAGGTGTGGCCTGGAGTTGTATGCAGGGCAAACCAGGAGTAAGGTAAAGAATGAAGGCATGTTCTGCTATTCCCAAAACAAAGTGTATCACTGCATCTGTTTCCGAAGTTTTGGGGGTTTTGATGTTGCTATTTTTTTCTACTTCTAGAAGTTGTATCATTTCAATAAGATGGCTTTTCTTCCCCCACTGCCATATTAGGGACATGTGGGCCTCACTATAGTCTAATGTTGACAAAGAGAGTCT